TTGTGACACGCCGTAGACTGATGATTTAATGTAAAATTACTCTATATATACTACTTATAAACCCCGCCTTAAAGGTGGTCTTTACAATTATTATGGGAGCTTATTTTCTGCCTAATTCATTTCATTCTGTGAGATATTATTAAGAATTATGATTACAATAATAAGGTGTACATGTATTTATTATTATCACTATCATTGTTATTATTAGGTGGTTGTGTTGCTAGGTAACTATTATTATCTTAGTGTGGTATTTCCTGGGTGTGTGTGTATTGATTGGGTTTTATTATTATGATTTTAAAATGATTATTTGCTGGACTGATTTTTGTGATTCTTTTTTGTTGTTGATGATAAAGAGATTCTCCTTGATACGAGAAGGGATCTTACACATTCAAACGTCAGAAAATACACCTCCCATACCATCCCACTCATACACTCACACCCCTCCCCAGAAACTGATATGCATATTTTGAAATTGAGGTCGGCGGCCAGTGCAGGCCTTTGAATCATTTTAAAATCAACAGTAGGCTACAAAGAAAGGGTCACGATCTACATGTCTATGATACCTCATATTTGTATGTAATTTTTTAGAAACTTCCAGTCTGGCCTCAAGGCTGTCTTTAATGTACCCGTCTTTAGCTGTCTCAGATTTCCATCGGCCATGCCTCTTGAACAACCGGTCGGGAACACCTTGATTAGCTGCTGTAGTAGCTCCTCCGGCTCGGAAATTGTGTGTTCCAAACTCCGATGGCTCATACCCCAAGGAACGCAATTTCTCCAACAAAATTTCCCTCACTCGGGTGTAGCTGATTGACCCCGAAGTACGTAGTTTCTCCCCTTCTTTTGTCTTTACAATAGCCCGGAATAGGCGTTCAGTGCTGAAGTGATTAATCCCTGCCATACTATAGTATTGCTCCAACCTAGCAACTGGACATGTATGAGGGGAATCCGCTCGAGCTATCACGACTTCATCACCTTGGCGATATTGATCCGTCTTGCTGGACAGCACCTTAATTGCCATATGGTCCACTCCAAACTTCACATCACAACATCTAATCCTCACCACTTCATCGAACCGAAAGAAACCATGGAAAGCAGTAACCGCTATCGCCACAGTCCGCACTTCCGATAATGATGGTCTAAGACCCAATGACTCTATCATCTCCCGTAACATTTCAGGGGTCACTGGTTCTTTCTTTGTCTTGGGCTTAGCTAGATTCCTCTGGAGGCCTGCTAAGGTCATCTTAATGAAGGGGTCTTGTGCTATTGGATCGAGACCCGCAGTTTGGCAAATCCATGATACCGCATTAGTTGCTTCTTCCACTGCAGCTTTCGATTGTGACTGCTCACCAACATGTTGTAGATATAATGCAAAATGGAGTGGGTTGACTGGAAAAACCTTCACATCATCCATGGTCTCGGTCCACCGTTGCCACTTCAAAAACGCTCTGGTGTACTTTGTGACTGTACTACTCGCTCTGGACCCCATGACAGTCAACTTCAGATTCTCTACTAGCTTCTGTAGCCGAGGATCATCGATTGCATCAAGCTCCACCCAGGCTCCCGAGCTTAGGACCACTAATATGAGGAAAGAATAGCAGGGCCGTAGCCAGGAACTTAAAATAGGGGGTTCGGAAATTGCTGCGCGCGAAGCGCGCAGCTAAAATTTTGACGAATAATAGGCGTGGTTGGTAGGCGTGGTCTTGATTTACGCATCTCAGCCATGTGCTGACTCAGCTAAAATGGATATCTGTGCTTCTCGCTGCTGCCAAAATGCTAATCCTGCTTTTGCAGTGCTGTTCTTCATGACAGGAGCTAATCTAAAACTTTTTTGCAGCTACAACAGGGGGTTCGTCCGAACCCCCCGAACCCCCCCTGGCTACGGGCCTGAATAGAGACTGTTAAGCAGTTGTAATCACGCAAACATACAATCATGCATCATTATTGGGATGCCAACAACACTCCCTAGCTCCCCAGCTGGTATTTCTAGTCAATTAAAAATCACTAACCTTACCCTATTAGTCTCTCAGCTACAAAGGAGCTGTATTGTAAAAACACAAAATACACATCATCAGCCACAAACTAGCTGTACTGAATACTAATTCAAGTGAATCACCAACTCTATGGTTGCCGTACAACCATCGGCTCAATACCTTACATAATGTATAATTCACAAAATGTGCTTATCAGCTAAAAATCAACCCACAATTGGGCAACTGGTGGCAAAAAACCAGCTATAACCAAAAAAAAAAAATAATAATTAATAAATACAATCACTGTAAGAGGAAGATTGCTCAAGGCTAAGCGCCTTAGGGCTAATAGCCCCTTGAAAAGGTCACGTGACCCCACTCAATAACTTGTGAAATTCACACGTAATGCTAACACATTAGAAGTTGGCACCCCATCTTTAAACAGGCAGGCACCTTGTTTGCCCTTCACAAATAGCCCTGGGATCAAAGGGAGGTACATAAAATCTTCAACAAAACTAGCAAACTCACTATCCCTACATATGATAGGCCAAAAAACAGCTGATGGCCATTCTGGTACAATAATGGTACCGACACACTTACAATTCATTGCATGACGCAATACTC